TTGTGTGGACCGATGTGTATACAATCGGACCGTCGCGAAGCAACGCTTCACATGACTTGCGTGAAAATGCAGCGCCATGCTGCACCAGGCATCGATCAGACTGCATGCCAGGATGAAACAAGCTGAAGGGCACAAACACCGCTCGTGCTGACTGCTATGCGTCCTTGATTGAATCGGAGCTTGTGACACAATTTCTAGGCGACTTTGTATGCTTCCATCGGCTTCCAAAGACAATTTGCCAACATGCTTAACACACAAAACCAACTGGTGCTGTCAGGCCCCGTGTTGCCTTGGCAACTCTGGCCCTCCGGCTCGGCGCCTCTGCATATCCGCATCCTGGTGAAGCAACCCGCAGCCCAGTCCCAAGCCCGGCTGATTGGTGTCCGACGAGTTTTTGGAATTTTCGGGTGGGCACCTGTGGTTTTCCCTCGCCTAGCCGTTGGTTTGATTCCTTGAACACATGCTCCAAACATGACAAGCAAACAAATACAAACAAGTGATTTGGGCATAATTGGGGAGGGGGCCGGCGTCAGCAAGTCCAGGTTCCGGCTGGCAAATGCTGCAACCACTGGATACGAAGCTTGGTGGCTTGCCGGCTCATGAACCACTTTCCAGTAGATCTCTCGGTGGAACGGGAAGGCAAGGACATCACTCCCTGAAAGGGGACTGCTTCGCTGTGGATTCCACTCTGCCAGCCAAGTGCTTCCATCCCCCTGTGAACTGGAAATTGCGCTGCCCTCCTAACCTCCTAACCACACAAATCAGGATCATTCATCCCTTGCAATTCATCAGAGAGAAAATGCAATGTAGAGAGTCGGGCTTGAGAATGCTGCCTTGCCTGACGGCCTAACACGTTGGTTCCTTTGCCTACCTATACAAGTAAATGAAACAACAGAGTGGAGCATTGAGAAATGCCCCAGCTGCCTCCCCCGGAACATCGTCCACATCTGGCATATCCTGGGCAAAGGGCGCAAGCGAATTCCCAACTCACCAAAAGGCAATCCGTCGGAATCTCGGCCACCCGAGGGAATCTGCAGCACCGCCCAAACAGATGCACAAACAAATCATACCCGATTCATCCTGGATCGAAAGGTGCTCGGGGCCCAAAGCAGCTTTCAAAGCGAGGACCATTCGGAAAACTTCAGCCCCTTTTCGCCCGACTTGCAGGGATCCCTCGACACATCCCCACCTCCAAAAGAGGATATACGTCAAAAGCTCAAGCGCCATCAAAAGTGCCAATCTACTGGCCCGACCTTTTATAACGGCTTTGCGCCAAACCCCACAACAGAACGAGCAAAATGGTGCACTGGTCCGGGAGGCAAAATGTTGGGCAACAAAACTTCTTGGAAGCGGGACAAATGCCGCTGACTCAATATGTGCGCTTGCCAGAAGGGCAGGTCTTTGGGATCCTGGCGGTTGGAAGGCCTGGCGTGCGCTGATATCAACTGCGCCTAGCGCCGTATGGCGCCTACCTGCGAGACCAGCTGCACTTGCTGCAGGACTCGGAACATACAATTACTCGGGGACCGCGGAAATTAGGATTGTGACCTGGTAGTTTCCAATCCTGCTCTTATACTGTCACGTTAACCCCTGATTGGTAAATCGTCTTCGGTAGTCAGGTGAGTCCCTGCTATTTGTGGTTGCGTTTGTTGCGTTTCTTCCCTGATTGGTGATTGGCGGTCAGCTTTAGGGAATCGTTACACCAGAAAAGCAATATTATCCCCCAGGGAGGAATAAGATACCCGAGCACAGGCTCATGCTCATTCTCGGGGCATGTTCAATTCACTCCTATACAGTGACGCTTGGTTGCACGTGCCGACCATAATGGAGCTTTCGCTCACCAACATTGCATGATCAAGCCAAGGTGATGGTCCCAGAATTGTGCCGCAAGGCCAAGCGGCCTAGGCTTTTACGAATAAATAATCACACGACAAAAAACACAATTATTGGTGGGTGATACTCGGGAGAAACACCGTCTCCTACTACAACCGCCCAAGTTTCAGTTGTAGCTTCCTCATGCTTGGCATGATCCACTTCTGGCTCAAACTGACGAATGCCAGCCGAGGAACCGGGGATCGCGTCTCTCGACCTAGCAAGCGTGTCGAATGCTCCCTCAAGTCTGGGCGATGCAGGGCAATGATTGGCTTCCCATTTGGCCGACTCGCTGAGGTTTCTCATGGGGACTGCAAAACTGTTGCAAGTGTCTCGATCGGATCAGCCAAGCACTTTGACAACAGGGGCACAGCATGAGGCTAAGCAACATGTTTTGCTTGTTGTCCAAAAGGTCAAAGGGCACGTTGTCAGGAGTGAAAAATAAAAAAGGACTGGCACACTAAAGACACGCCCGGCCTTGAGACAAATGCAATCGGTTCATGTTTGAATCTTAACTCAGAACACACTGCGAGGAGTACAGGGTGCGCTTGCTAGGATGTTACCACTGTAGGCGGGAAATCGCATATCGCACAGGAACATGTCCAGAATAGATCCATGAAATGAAGACTCTGCCCCTGTTTGACAGCGGTCACTGGATATCCCAGTCAAAAGTTGCAACTTAATGGTGGGTTCCCTTGAAACTACCACTTTACCTCCAACATTTGAGGGAGCCAGTTTTTTGATGCACAGCATCGCCTTTTGAAACCTAGCAGGTCTCAAGGAGGCAGCCTAAGCTGGCAGGTGCCCTCTTTCATCGACTGCATTGTCCCAAACCTCCAATGCTCATACACAAAACAAGCCACATGGCAATCTCAGCATGTCCTCCACATCCCCGGTGCGCTCCGTCTCAAGTGGCTTGATCCAGCCCATGAACTTATTGGGTGTAGCGCAAGCAGCCAGGCACTCCACGTTGCATGATCCAAAACGTGTCACGCTTGGCTTCGACAGCTTGGTCAAAAGAGAACCTGATCCTCCGATCGGCAGCACCAAATCAATGTAAGAGGGAATGAACATCAGCGTAGTTGTCTCGGTGCTGGAATCGCTGATGAAACCTCTGCTTGTATGCAAGGCAAACCATCAAATCAAATTTCAAACGCAACGATTCCCTATTGATCCCCTGATTTGACACTCCACAGTTTGACTTAGCCTTACAGAAGCTTCAGCCATGATGGCAACTGGCTGGAGCAATGCGCTGCCCATGACAAATATTCCGCTGGAACACATGTTGCTTGCCGGAGGACATGCGTGCAGCGTGTTGATCGTTGAGGGGTCGCAGCATAACAGTGATCTCTCTCGCTAAAGCGAATGGGCATGTATGTATGGAGGGTAGGCTTTTGGGCGTGGGCTTGTAGGAAAATATGCAATGGAAAACCACACATTTTTAGAGCTGCCAAATTTCGAGACATATCGCGTTGAGCTAGCCCAGACAAACTGCCACCTTTGGCCCACAATGGAACTCGACAACAGAGTTGTGAAGTAATTAGGTTTGGCCCAGGGGCCAGAGACGTCGCCTTCGGTCTCGGAAGCCGTGCAAAAATACGGCATGACTGCCCATGTTGTTTGAGCCCCGTGCAAAGCAACAATAGGCGGCCAATTCACGGGAAAGCCTGCCGCTTGGGACAATTCTCACGTCCGACACGACCAATTGTTGCCATGTTTAGACGGCAATGGCTTTTTCAACCCAGGTCGCAAGTTTGTATTTGCTCGAGGCTTTCCTAGCTAACCCCATTGATCCCCAAGCAGCCTGTGGAATGTGATGAGGCAACAGACTCCCTGCTCTGCAATCGACTTTGCTAGCCGGAGGAACCGCTTGCCAAGGAGCTGCGCCGGAAGGGCGGGGCGGGCCGGCTTTTGTTGGGTGCCAGGGGCGTGCCTGAGCGACCAGTGCGGCACTTTAGCGCCGTTAAGTCTCCTTTCGTGCCCCTGGGGTCGGAAAGAAGCTGAAAAGTCGAAATTATTCGACTTGGGGTTGCTGTTGCCACGAGGCTGGGATCCCAATAGCCCGAATTGCCCAGGCTTCATTCTACCAGCTCCAGTGATTTTGCCATGAGTTACGTTCGCAAATGGCCCTGACAACTGGAGAAGTGGCAGGCACCATATCAAGCGATCCCTGATGCACATCAGCAACTTTACCACGTCGAAGCAGATCGGGAAGCAGTTTGAGTCGGGGATGTAGTAGGCAGCCCCACCCGCGCTAGTTGCCAGTAAGGCGCAAGAAAGCATCCCCCCCAAATGTTGGGCCCGCATGTCCTGATATGGGTAACAACATGTCAGTCAAACCAACAGTTGCTTTATATAATCCAAGTCACTATATTGGAAGTCCTTGCTGAACAAGGCAAATGCAAACACATGTGCACAAAATCATGCAAACAACAGCTCATCAAAGACAGCTCCCTGTGCCCTGCACCGTTGAAAGTGATGCTCGCCGCGTGCAACTGGAAGTTTACCTACCTCAGAAATAACTTGTTTCAGTCCCAGGTCAGTCCCTACCGCCGCGTGCAGCGGTCTTTTCGATACCTCAAGTCGACAGTTCAGCACAAGGAGTTTGCCGTGTGCAGGTCAGGGTTCCTTGCTTCCCTTGGCAGTAATCATCAATGCCCCAGGCGCTTGCAATCACAAACGGGAAACATATGAACGCCTGCGTGTTGCAATTGGTCGCACGCGTGAGGACAGCGGTGCGAGCCCAAACTCTTTCCAGGATACAGGACCGAGTCGGGTATTGCTGTCAGCCTTTGACTTGTTGATGGACAATTCCCACTTCGCAACAGAAACAACAATGGATGGAATCCTAAGAAATATTGGCATCAAGCACCTGCCTGGCGCCAAGTGGTTTTTGACCGATTTCTTCCTTGGAGATATGGCCTTTGGCCTTCTCTGGCGCGAAAATTTTCAGTCGCGGGACCCTGAGGTTGAAAACTCAACGGGTGAAACCATGAAACTTACAACATGAGCAGTGCCCGAAACCGTCGACTTGTCCACCAAGATGGTTGCAAGGTTGTATAGGCCTGACTACCACCATTGACCACAAGACCAGGTAGTAGAATCGTAATAGAAGGACCTGCTGAAATTGCAAAGGGCTGTTGGGCGCTGCTCACATGTCCTCCAGCATGTCCGGCACAGCTCCTGGTGCGACCATACCCGGAAGTTGGTCACTGGGCGGTGGCTGGACGCCCGAACTCAGTGCAGCTTGAGTCCTTCTCACCTCAGATCCAAGCAATCGCCACGTTTCCAACCAATCCGGCAGTCGAACAAATAAGACAGAAGAAAGTAACACAAAAGTGAGCCCAGACTCCTCTGAAGGTGTTTTGTTGGTTGATTTCCTGATTGTCTTTTGGGTGGCTTTCATCCAAGCGCCTTCCCTTGTCGCATCGCTTCCGGGCCGGCGCCCTGAGCATGGTCTCGGGGCTACACCCTCAAGCTAGCGTCTTTGCCATTGTTTGCTTAGCTCAACCCATGCACCGTTCGGCAGGCCTGACAGGATCCGAGTTGAATTTTAGGTACCGATGAACAATTGGGGTTGTGGATGGACAGTACAAGTTGGCCTGCACGGCTCACGAATGGCAGCAGTCAAAGGCTAGAATCGGCCCGAATGCTCGGAGTAGCAAACTTTGATATGCTTCCCGCATGTCTCCCATAAGAATTCCAGCTCACACAACTATGGATCGTGTTGTTTGCAGGTCTCACTTGGAAGGTGTGGACAGCGAACCACGCTCGCACCCGGGCGGTGAACCCACAAAATAATACTGTTGCAGCTTAGCTTTCCGCTAGCTTTCCGCTAGCTTTCCGACCCCCACTGGGGGTTGCAGCAAGACGAAGGAGCAAGCAAGCAAGGCAAGGCAAGGCAAGGCAAGGCAAGGCAAGGCAAGGCAAGGCAAGGCAAGGCAAGGCAAGGCAAGGCAAGGCAAGCAAGCAACGGAGCAACCGAGCAAGCTAGCAAACAACCAAGCAACCAAGCAAAAAAAACAAGTAAGAAGGCAAGCAGGCAGGCAAGCAGGCAGGCAAGCAAGAACGAAAACAAATCCAAGAGCCAATCAAACAAGTACAATGAAGATCAAGCAAGCAGCAAAGCAAATGCCCAAAACAATAAACAAAAACAAATGCAAGAAGACATCAGCCAGCAGGCCAGGTGGCAAGGTCTGGGCAGTACAAAGGTATGCTGAAGCGACTTCCCCGATTCTGAGCCCCAACTTGTGTGTGTCCTTTTCTATTGACCGCATCTGAGACCGTGAATGCTAAATGACTAGGGGTTTTGCAAACACTAAGCCATAACCACCCCTTATGGTTTCCTTGGTAGACTTTTCATGCGAGATGACCGGCCATAAAAGACTTCAGAATGTCCCCCCTCGCAGGCCAAGTGACCTCCTCGTGTGCGGAGGTGATTCTCGCGTGGGACACGATCCCGCGGCGGACGGCGAGGCGCACGCAAAAGCGCCGCACGATCTGCCCCAGCTGCGGGCAGGTGATCTTGCGCCGCTCGATGACTTTCATAAACCTGAGCCAAGGCATCACCCAAAATTTTACTCGCTTCCTGAGTGGACTGCACAAAAAGTGTCTGAGCTTCCTGTACTTACCACGAACATGGCCTTCCCAAGAAGTGAAAACGTCCAGGAACTCGGGAAGAGAGTATATGGGAGTGTCCTTTGTGAGGTTGTTGCAAATAAAGGGAACACGCAACTTACCCTTGGGAATGTCGTTTCTGGCCTGATTTCTTCAGACATGGCGTTGTGTGGGGAAAACAACAAAAGAACCAACATTTCCACACCCAACTGGTTGGAACCCAGTGGGGAAGCCACCCCCCCCCCCAAAAAAAAAAGGAAAACGGACACTAAACAACTGGGTGTTTGTTTAAAGGAGAAACTCGAGAATAATATGGTCTTGGGGATGTGAGACTTGTCCTTTGAAGGGGGGTGACCCTCTCCCCTCAATACATTACTTGGGGGACGGAGGCGGAAAAGCAGTAGGGATGCCAGCAGTCCACTTGGCTGGGAAGGGAGGCCCGCCAATTCGACCGGGTTCACGCGGAACAAAAAGGGGCAGTGAGGCAGCAAAGGGTTTCTGCTGAAAGAGCTTGCAGGTTGGCTGGCCACGGGCGCGAATTTTGTGCTTTGAGAATTGGACTGGTAATCGCATCCCAAGTAATGTATGGCGGGATAGGGTCCCCCCCTTAAAAGGGCTTCCTCAGTTCGGGACAGCGTGGAATATCAGCAGAATTTGTGTGTCTTAAGATAAGGGATGTGCAAAAAAGCTGATAGCTGGACACGAGCAACATCCTTTGGCCTGGAGGTCCTCTGACATCCTCAGGCACCCTCTACGCCTTTTCAACAAGTTGGGGTTCATGATGCCGGTGCCCAAATCGCTCAAATGCAGCAACGCATCCGACCCATCGGCCCCCGTTTCTCTACCACTCGTCAACACGCCAATCAGGCACAAGTGGGGTATCCAGAGCGTCCAGCCTAGGACTCCTAGGACTAGACTGCTCAGGCAACATCCAGGTGAATTGTTGCCGTCATTTGTTTCGCAATCTGTAGAGATGCGGACATCTGTCGTCTGCTAAGGCGTGCTTCACAGGAGGATAATGAATGACCACTATAGTGAGAGCACTACTTTTTCCTTCGGGGTTCAACGTGGACTCGGGTTCATGCCCTGCCTGCATAAAATGACCAAAACCTATCTGAATCAAGTTCGCCCTGAGCGCAAGTAAGGTGCCGCTTTGGCCCTTAAAGTCCTGGTGAAAGGCTGGAAGGACCTATCCTTGAGACGTCCGGATGCATACTCAAATTGGACTCAAGAAACCGCCGGAAGAGTAAGAAGTACCACACAATGTACTTATATATTAACTCTGGTAGCACACACGACTTGCTAAGGTGCTAACTTACTGACTTACTAACATAATCTCCTCCCCCAATTAATGAATGACCCCCATTAATAATAAATGCGTATTTATTAATAGGGGAAGAGATTACTTAGTAACGGCGCCCTCCTCCAGCTCCAGATGCTAACTAACCGCTTCCAAGATGCTAACTTCACTGCCTGGCCCTATGCCAAAGGGGAGCATTTGGACTGCTGCAAGGCATTCCTCAAAAGGAAGAACCCCAACATCGTGGGAGAGGCCGAGATTTTGGGCTACAAACCGTTCATTTGGATCGGCGACATCATCTTCCTATAAACCGAAGCTTGGCAGCCCAGTCCAAGGCGCTTGGCGCGGGTAAGAAACAGCACCTCTAAATAGGTCAGTGCAAAACCCCGCACCGGGCGGATGAGCGTCACGTCCGAAAGCACAAAATCCTCGCCCCACCTCGGATGGCAAGCGCGGCTTGCGGCTCACAGGTTACAACCTGCCGAGTACTTGGTGCCCTGGGAGGTGGAAGCTCCTGGAAGCTCCCATACAATCCGTTTCAATTTTCAGATCCCTCGAATGGGGTAGGTGGCCCTCATGACAGGGCAGCCACAAGAAAACCCCTCGTTCAACCTCAGTAAGCCACTGCAAGCATGAGATCACCACATCCAAGCACACAGTCAATCCCGCAAGAAGCCGCTCTATTCTATGGTGGCTCAACTGCTGTTCTGTGCTCCATGATTTGGGCGTTCTGCACTGAAATGCATGATGGGATGACCCATCCGCTTGGACCACAGTGGCGCCGTACCTCTCATAAGACAAAAGGTGTCCTTATCAAAGGAAGTTTAGTAAGACAACTTCCGTAATACGAAAAGTTGAGTCACAAGATCCGGACGCACTCGAAGTGAAGTCAGCACGGAGAATCGCGAAGGGTACCTCTGTTCTGCGTGCGGGTCCGCCACGGGTTCGCCACGGTCGCGCCACGGGGGCGGAATGTTGCCCACGGGCACGGCCGCGCAGACTGTTTTTGTTCGTGAGGTTTCTCGGAGGTCTATTTTGCGTGGCAGGTGCAGCACTTTGGCAACCTAAGGTGCAGATTTCGTGGCATGTGCCATATTTTGTGCCCGTGCAAGGTCAAGTGCAGATTTCGTGGCAGGCGCAGTATTTTCGCAAAGCCGAGTACAGATTTCGTGGCAAGCGCAGCACTTTCGCAAGGTCAGGTGATAGATAGATAGATAGATAGATAGATAGATAGATAGATAGATAGATAGATAGATAGATAGACCAAATGGAAAAAGAGAGAGAGAGAGAGAGAAAAAAAAAGAAAGAGAAAGAGAACTACAAAGAAAGAAAGAAAGAACAGAAGGAAAGAAAGAAAGGAAAGAAAGAAGGAAAGAAAGAAAGAAAGAAAGAAAGAAAAGAAAGAAAGGAAAGAAGGAAAGAAAGAAAGAAAGAAAGAAAGAAAGAAAGAAAGAAAGAAAGAAAGAAAGAAATAAAGACAGAAAGAAAGAAATAAAAAAAGAAAAGAACAAAATAAATAAATCAAGTAATAAAGAAATAATAAGAAATAAATCAAGAGATAGAAAGAAATAAAACAATCAAATAAATAAATGAATAATAATAATAAAAAATATATAGAGAAAGAAAGAAATAAATAAATAACTAAAGAAAGAAGTAAAGAAAGAAGTAAAGAAAGAACTAAAGACAGAAATATAGACAGATAATATATAAAGAAATAACATAAATAACTAAAGAACTAAAGAAAGAAATAAACAAATAAATAAATAAACAATCAACAAAAGACAGAAATAAAGAACTACAGAAGGAACCTAAAGAAAGACAATAAATAAATAAATACATAATTAAATACCAAAAAAGAAAGAACAAAAGAAAGAGACAAAGAAAGAGCGAAACCCAGAAAAAAACAAGCCAAGCTCTTCCTATAGGCACTCTTCTCGCTTTAGAAACTTCCGCCCACCGGCTTCGCCGGCTCTACTGGTACAGTAAAGTGGGCATCTTCTTTGGGCTGCCAAAAGCAGCAGGTTCCCTCGCTAGCTCTTTTGGTTGGGACATTACCTACTCCCAAACATTGCGCACTCGGACCTTGCGATCCGCAAAAGCCAAGTGGCACAGCGCCGTTGGAGCCTACGCGGCTGTTGAGAGCCACTAAGCCTTTGGAAAGGATGTAGAGCACCTTGCAGGGCGCAAAGGATCACGTTTGGATGCCTGAGAGGACCATTAGAGGAAACTCCGGGATTCCTGGCTGTGGCAACTGAAGGCAATGAGTGCCTTTTGCGAGAAGGGGCAGAAAGGGATGGAGGCAATTGAGAAGCCAAATTTCATCAATATTTCTACATGCTCCGGTAAGGAATCTTGCCAAGGGCTGCTTCCCACATGCGTGCTCATGCATGTTCATGTCAATATTCTCTGTTCCCATACCTAGCGTTGAAAAACATATGCCAGGATTCTCCGCCGGTACAAACAGTTGCCAAAATGCCAAAAGCGAGTTCAACACAATCGACCATGCACAACCACAAACAGCCAAGCAAAAGCGCCGCCAAATAAGACCCGATCGCCAAATCCTGTCAATTTCCGTTGCGCTTTCCGGGCAACGACTTGTTACGGCCAGAAATGCTGGCAAAATTGCACTGGAAAAAAAGGCTTTCTGCAAAACGGAAATAATTCTAGACAACTTCAAATTTGTTGCTACGCATCCTCACCTACCTTTATAAGCACTCAAAATGCACTGACATGAACATACTTGTACGCACTCACACACATACGCATCTTACACGTATCGAACAGTGAGACACCCACACTACGTCATGTGCCATCCAACCTGATCCCACCTCATATTATTCAAATCCTGCAGCGCTGTTCTTGGTTTGGATGCACGTTGTTCACATGTTTTCGCTCCTGTTGTCACCAGTAGTTTCTTTTGAACCAGGGACCCTTGCAAAAAAAAAAAAACGTTTGATGCATCATCTTGCAAATGTCACACTGTACAAAGGAATGCCAGAAGCAATTGCCATAGCCAGTCGGCAACGTTAGAGCCCTGCTTGGAATGAATTCCCAGGCTCAGCGAAATCGGTGTGGCGTTGCTATTTACCCTGGAAAGGAAGCCCTCCCTCGCTTTTTCCGTTTACCGGCGATGGGCAAAGGGTGTGGAGACGGAACTTGCCAGCCCCTCTTCACCCGTTTAACATGCAAACATCATACATATATATATATATGTATGACACAATACATATATATATATTAGTATATATGTGTGTGTGTGTCCATATGTATACGCAAAACATTTGTTTGTATGTAGAGTATATGAACATGTAGTAGAAGCCATCCTGCCTGACTAGCAAAAAGCGACAATTCACTGGTCTTTTTCAAAAAACAACAAGGCCCAACAAGTGCAGCACAAAGCCTTTTGTGACGATTGCTTGGTGCTGCCGGCCGCTCCCGATGACTGACAGGGGGCTTGATTCCAAGCCCGAGTGATGAGGCGTTGGCGAATCTGAAATCAGCCTTATCAAAAGGAATGTGGGTATCATTCGCTGTCACATGTTTTCTGTCTAAAACCTCGCCGTCTACATCCGTCTACCGACTCTGTGAAAAGCGGTGCGTGGGGTATAGCAAACGCGGTGGGGAAGTTTACTGGTGTTGGGGATGAGTTCTGTCCCTTCTGAGACATTGGCCTAGAACTGTGCGCTTTATTGTTTTCAGCCTTCACGTAAAGGACTTTTCGCGCCCCCTCATACACAGACTCTGCTTGTGGATGTGCGTGGGCGGGCTGGGAAGTAAGCCTGCAATTGGAACGTGCTTAAATGGTTAGGAAGCTTGCCATGCAAATGCCCTTACCGTGGATGAGGATGCTCACCAGCCATATGACTTGCAAACGAATCAGTTGGCTCCAAAGGCTCTAGCCCAGCACTTTGGAAGTAATCAAACACCATCGATGTCCATTTCTTGCTACAGTTGATTTGTTTCCTGAGTTGTTCGGTCTCATGTTTCAGGTTGACCGTGTAACGTCGGCACGCAAGGCGATTGTAGTGTCTAGCTACAAATGTCATGCGTTTGCCGCTTTTACCGTGACGAGGCTTAGACTTACAATGTTGTGCAAAAAGCCGAGAGCTGAGCTCGGCCTAAAGGTGCTTCCATAGCCACCCTGGGTCCTCCAGTAGAGAGTTTAGAGGTACCCTTTTTTTCTGTAGTCTATTTTAGTAGGGGAACCCTTCCCCAAAAAAGGGGTTAAAAAGGGCACTACTGGAAGACCTAGCAGCTGTCAGAAAGGCCCCGCCTGAACGTTATCAAAGCGCTCGCCCTGTGCAAAGGCTCCGCAGTCCAACTGCCGGGAAATGTCGGCGATGCCTGACGACCCATTTCAGGAGCATGCGGGCATTCATGTTGACCCCCTATTAATCAGCCCCAGTTTATTAATAGGGGCATGTTCCCCTCCAAAAGTGAACAATCCACACTAACACCCGGGACACCCCCATGTTTATTAATAGGGGGTGTTCATTGAACAAGGCCATGGATAGATTGCATTTGGGGCCATGCTAGCCCCGACGTTCATTGAGAATCTCCGCTGATCGGGTGATCAGGGACCTCTACTTCTTGAAATGGGCGTGCTCATTCATCTTGGTTCAGTTGGCACCGACATTGATCTAAAAAACACCTCAGCCGCCGTTGATGTCACTCAGGGCAACGGGGAAGAAAAGAAACACATGCGGCTGTCAGCCGGCAGCTACGAATGGATACCCTGAGTATAGCCTTTCAAGCAACCCATGGTGTTGACACAGCAGGGGTGGAAAGCTGACCACCCATAGTCACCGATCACAAAGCTTGGTACAAAATCAGCCGTATTTATCTTCATATCAGTAGCATGCTCATATTTTACAAATCCAACCACCGGAATGAACAAAATAGCAAGTTCAGGGTGAGCTCGCAGTACCCCCGAATCGGTGAATCTACAATAAGCAGATGCATATTGAGCCCGCCCGGTGTCCACCCGAAGCTTCGCATGGCCCGAACAGCTGAGATGCACATCCGGAACGGGTCCGCATCAAGACCTTTCTCCTCAGTCTCCTCGATGAGTGCCATGAACTGACCTCGCAAACGCGTTCTGCGCTTCTTGACTTGCCCGGGCAATACATATCCCTGTCGTCAAGTTTACATTGCCCGTGTCAGAGCAGCATGCTGTGACGTGCGCCGGGCTTCTGACGCGTGAGGGTAAGGAATCGCAAGCTCTGCGGAAGCATCTATACATACCCTTACCCGTAGTCGCCAGCTGGCGTCCAACACATTGAATGGCAACACACACACACACAAAGCCACACGGGTTAAAGGCTCACCGCATGCCATGTATTAAGTCATCTTCACTACAAGCGTTGCTTGCTTTCCGATGCCCGCCGTTAGTAGCAGGTCTCAAGGACGACGCGGGCTTACACGGCCTGCCTGAAAGGACCACAACCTCTTCACGGCCATTAAACCAGCTGAAAGTCTAAACCAGCTGAAAGTCTCGATCGAAAATGTTCAGACTGTTTTTTTTTGCCCATGGCGGGCGCAAGCCCAAGCAAACGTGCTGCGTGCCTAAGCCCTGAAAATTTACACACGCCCTGCTTCTCAAGGACCCAACATCAAAATAACATTCCATCCGGCCCTCAGGCGGCAAGGGGCTTCACTGCACCTTCAAAAATCCCGGTTGAATGCCATGCGACGTGGTATGATCAAGCGGCGCTGGGCATGCTTGCCTCCCAGGAATGATCCACGCAATCAAAGAGATCATGGACGAAATGAGCCCGAGACGAGCCACAAAACCAATGGATGTACGAGACCCGTGGTTTTGTGGACAGCCTCTCTTGCGGCCAAAAAGCTGAAAAATGTCACCCGCTGGATCCATGCAAAGTTCAAAGCGATGCACACCTCGGACTGGAGTTGCGGGCTCATACCTCGGCCCACAGTGGAGCAGGGCTGTGCCAATCATGGGGTGGGCGCTGAACCCGGAACCAGATTTCTAAAGGTTCCACAATCTCCATCAAACAGCACCCCATCCATTAGTCAGTGCAAATCATTTGGGCTGAAGACAGGGTCCTTGGGCTCTGAGGTGCTATGAATCATTGAATTCGCAACAGGCAGCCAGAGAGACCACCACAACCTGCACGTGTGTGCGTGGTTCATTTGTTGAATCTCTTCACAACCAAGGTGAACAATCTAAGATGCGTAAACAGCAAACACCTCAGCCGCAAGCCAAGCGCCGCACTTCAAACCAAGCACATGACACCGCTCATGCGTGCCAGGCTGCTATCGCGGAGTCTCTGACGCGTCACATGTAGTGCCTGGCAAGTGTGCGCCAACCATACGCCACAACTTGCGCCTCTGACGCACGTCTCAAACAGCATGTTGTGCACGTGTTGCAAACGCACAAATGACAGAAAACTGCACCACAAAACTCGCATTGTCCTGTCAAAACAAACGTAACAAACATGTTTCGGATTGTGCTGCCACTGCCTGTCCTGTTCCAGTCTCAAGACCGAGCGTGACGTTTAACAAGGAGGCTTGTGTGGACCTGAAGCATGCATTGTTATTGTGTTGGCTGGCTGGTATGAACGTGGTAATGCGATACCATGGCTCTGCGCTAGGGCCTCCAACGCTAGAATGATATTCCCATTTTCGGCCAAGCCCGATTAAAACGACCAAACCTTGAGGCCTGGATCGATGGATTGCGTCGCGCATCGATCGTGCCTGATGTCGGTTCTGGAGGAAGAAGCTGCGCAGGCGGCAGCGCAGCTCATTCGGCAGGCCCTGCTCAGACATCCTGAGATGGAGCATGGGCCCGGAGAAAACGAGGCCTCTCCCTGGCTTCATTTGTGTGAAAACTGGGTCTACCAATCATGTTGCTTGCTCACACAGGTGAGAACAAAAAACAGTACATGCCAATAGGGACATGGCCACATGGCCCCATAAATTCTTTCAACTGGGATGGCAACCTCTGCACAGAAATGTGCTCTCGGAGTACTGTGTAGGGAACTCCGGCCTGGGTATGCTTTCAGGTCAAGCCGTGAATTCAAAACCCTCCAGGGAATCTGGGGGGGGAGCTCGAGGCGCTTACTCTTCCCCGGCAGTTGGAAGGTGCCAACTATGGCCCTATGGTGCCTGAACAAGAATTGATTGAAAGAGGTTCGTCTAATGATGTTTCCAACTAATATCTAACATGGTGCCCAAAACAACCATTGTTTGGGCACCCCAACCAAGGCCCAAACAAGTGTCATCAGGGCACCCAGTTGAGCATCACACCCCTCGCCGAAAATTATCCTAAAGAGGCCTCCAGTGGCCCAAGTGGCCCAAGCGCTGGAGTTTGCTCGTTTGGCCAGGGGGACTGGAGGAAACCCATCTACTAGTACTTTGGAGGGGGCTCGAATTTAGAGACGAAGCGCTATCAAAGGCGTTTGCCTTAGATGTTTTTGTTCTCTCTCTCTCTCTCTTTCTCTCTTTCTCTTTCTCTTTCTCTTTCTCTTTCTCTTTCTCTTTCTCTCTCTCTCTCTCTCTCTCTCTCTCCCTCTCTCTCTCCGCACAATAAACCTTGGCTGCTTGGGTTTCCAACCAAAACTGGAGGATGGAGTGGGCCTGCGGCATGGTTTTGCCCCACCAAACCTGAAGCCCCCGACCTAAGGGTCTGAAGCCCCCGAGGACTGCTTAAGCTTTGCGGATAACTCAAGGCGCAATCTGGCGCTGCCAGTGAGGCTGTGACCGGAGGTTGAATGAACCCAAGCAATCGATCATTGCATGTTGCCACCATGGCTCAAGCTTGGTATTCAATATGCTGACATTTGATTGCTTACTTTGGATTTCGTTGCTTGAGTTGTTCATGGCCGGACACTGCCGGCTATCCCCCACAATTTTCAAACCAATTGGCTATGCACAAAGGCAATCATCACAGAAAAAGCAAATCTCCCCTTAGAGCGACCCTGGTTTTTCCAGCCCCTAGGCTGTCGAGTTGACCCATGCTCACCTCTTGGCTTGTGCGTCCAAAGGGTGGTTGGGGCCGCACACGGGTCCCGTGAAAGACCCTAAGGAATATCAGGGACAGGGAGGGATCACGGTGCCACTCCAGAACAGCATCTGACTGCAAAGGGAGCCCTGCCGGGCGTCATGGTGTTCAAGTCCGTCATCTTCTTCCGGAAGGCTTGGGTCTCCGAGTTCATGTCGCTAACCTCGGCATAATCGCTGTCAACGAACATCAAAACATCAAAACGTACTGACCCGGGACACGTGCCAGGTGAAACGTGTATCTACAGTGGCGCGGTTTGGTGTGTGTGTGTGTGGGTGTGTGGGTGGCTGATTGGCTGGGTGAGTGGCTGGGATGGTGAGTAGGTGGGTGAGCATTTGTATATATATATATATATGTATATGTGTTTTTTGTTGTATTTTGGTGTCTTTGTGTATGTGTGTGTGTTGTGGATTTGTTTGTTGTGTTTGCTTGTTTGTGTGTGTGTGTGTGTGTGTGTGTTTGTTTTATTGTTTTTTGTGCGTATGATTGCTTTGGTGTTTTGTGTGTGTTGTGTGCTTTTTCATTTTTTCTTCTCGGTGTCTTTCTGATTGTGTGTTTGCGTGGCTGTGTGTGTGTGTGTGTGTGTGTGCGTGTCTAATTGTGTGTGTGTGTGTGCTTGTTTGTGTGCGAGTCTGTGTGTTTGTTTTGTTTTGTGTGTGCGTGTGCGTGTGCGTGTGCGTGTGCGTGTGCGTGTGCGTGTGCGTGTGCGTGTGCGTGTGCGTGTGCGTGTGCGCGTGCGCGTGCGCGTGCGCGTGCGCGTGCGCGTGCGCGTGCGCGTGCGCGTGCGCGTGCGCGTGTGCGTGTGCGCGTGCGCGTGCGCGTGCGTGCGCGTGCGCGTGCGCGTGCGCGTGCGCGTGCGCGTGCGCGTGCGCGTGCGCGTGCGCGTGCGCGTGCGCGTGCGCGTGCGCGTGCGCGTGCGCGTGCGCGTGCGCGTGCGCGTGCGCGTGTGCGTGCGTGTGCGTGTTGCGTGCGTGTGCGTGCGCGTGTGCGTGTGCGTGCGTGCGTGTGCGTGTGCGTGCGTGCGTGCGTGCGTGCGTGCGTGCGTGCGTGCGTGCGTGCGTGCGTGCGTGCGTGCGTGCGTGCGTGCGTGCGTGCGTGCGTGCGTGCGTGCGTGCGTGCGTGCGTGCGTGCGTGCGTGCGTGCGTGCGTGCGTGCGTGCGTGCGTGCGTGCGTGCGTGTGTGCGTGCGTGCGTGCGTGCGTGCGTGCGTGCGTGCGTGCGTGCGTGCGTGCGTGCGTGCGTGCGTGCGTGCGTGCGTGCGTGCGTGCGTGCGTGCGTGCGTGCGTGCGTGCGTGCGTGCGTGCGTGCGTGCGTGCGTGCGTGTGTGTGTGTGTGTGTGTGTGTGTGTGTGTGTGTGTGTGTGTGTGTGTGTGTGTATGTGTGTGTGTGTGTCTCTGTCTGTGTGAGTGTGGGTGTGCGTGTGTGGATGTACACTGTGCATGTGCCTGAGTCTGAGTCTGTCGTGATTAGAAGCGATGCACCACACCAGCCAGATTCAAACAACCTTGCAAACAAAACAAATAGCAACGCGTGAACCTACCGAGGGGCAATGGCACAAACCTCTCCCAGCACGTAGGCCCAACAAAGACCAGCCGTCAAAATGATCAGGATGCACACGATCCGCTCAAAAGAGTTCTGGGGGTAGATGTCGCCGTACCCAACCGACGTCATGGTATAACCTTGGCTGCGACTCTTCCGACTGTTTCGACATGAACGCTATTCGGCTTGCGGCTCGCACAGCTGGCTCCGATTCAGCAGATTGGCCTGTGAGAAATGGGAAGTCAAGTACGCTCCGACATCCAAACTAGGGATTGCATTCTAGTTGGGGAACCTCTGGTGGACATCATTAGCATGGGGATTTATGTCCACCAACCAGTTTTCAGGGGGTTCCGCATCAAAATTAATGGGCTCCAAGCAAAACGCAGCTTCGGAACTGCAGAAGTAGAAGGCAGTAAGGTAAATCCGCCATGGGCTGTCCTTGGTAGTGATGCCGAACTGAAGGTCCACACTCTCCTGAGCCAACATCCAGCCAGCAAAACGTTGATGTGTTTTCTGGTTGAAAGGGAACACCAAGGAAACACATCCAAGCAACAACAAAAATGAACGAGTTAAGTCTGGCAATGGCTCGATGTCGCTGATCCACTGAGGAAGGCCAGGATCTGCAAGTTGCAGCGTCATGGACCACACGCATGCAAGCCAGTGGCATACCAGGAGTAGGATCAGCAAGAACCGTGCCAGGGCGAACTGCTGATACGGGATGGACACCGCGATCTCCAGCTTGTGCAGCCATCTGGAGGTTTTGACCTCGGGGCTTTGTGGCCAATGTCGAAATAGCAAGACTCTGAACACGTGGCAAAACATGCGACCTGGCAATGTGTAGCAGCAGGTGGCAAAAGAGTCCAGCCTGGACAAGGAGTCCAACCTCCTGCTAAACGCAAACTTTTCATGGGGTCAGACCCGCTGTGGTGATCACAATCTTGCCACCCTCACCACAACCCCCCCCCAGGTACCAAACCTCGAGATAGTACCTTGGCACCAAATATGTGTCTGTTCTCTTGTGTTCTACTTGAAAGGGTATATATTGCCCTGGATTCAATACTAAGGTGAGAAATTGCGCCAGGCACCATTCCAGGTTCGCCTGTGGAGGCGCCACGCCCAGGGTAGATTTCCGCCACCCCTATTGTTTCACGACATATTTTCTCGCATGCCTTTTCGTTTCATACGTTCATCTTATCTTTGCGCAGAGCTATCTTCATGTAGTGCCCGTAGCACGGAAGCTCCTTCAAAACTTCCTTTGATGAGCTGCCCTCATGCTCGCGTACTTGATGCGTTTGCCCATTTCAAAGCAGTCGCGGCTGTTGACCCCTCATCCTGCAAGCCTGCAGAAATTCAACCAAACGACAAGACATTGGAGAGGAGTCGTCGTCCTCAACTTTAGCACGAAAATGCATTGAAACCACATTTCATGCCAGTGTCTGTGCCCTCACACTATTGACCACTGCCTGAATGCTGCGAGCGTCTGATCAATTCAACCTCTGGTTTTACCGGCGTCCCGCTTGCCAAGTCACCACTCGCATGAGCTTCAGGAGCCGAAGCGCACGGATGGCCTTTGTACCCTTGAAGGCGCTCATGTGATCTGCACCTCCCGGAAATCAAACTTCCCTCAGAATCCGAGTTTGGACTGGTGATTTGGAGGGTACAAAGTCATTTCCCTGAAAACGTGGATCAAACCTTAATCCCAAAGGAGGGTTTCCTGATTCACTGTGTCAAGTTCAAAGGCTCCCTGCCTGAGGCGAGCTCGATGACGTCGAAAGGGATAATGGTGATCAAATCGATGGGGAACCAAGTCTTCAAGTAGTGGGTGGCGATCTTGCTGAGGCTATCTTCCCACTGCAGACCCCTGGCAGTGACTCTGGGATACATGGTGAAGAACTGCAACACCATGTCCCAGAGGAAGACGCTATCCACCATGCAGCTCACCATCATCAAGATGTCCCATCTCAGCTCGAGAAGGCCCACCTGATACCTTGGCTGGAATTAGGACCCCAGCAAAAAAACATATTTTTTGCCTGGCTAGTGGAAAACAAAGGGGGCCCAAAAAAGCAAAAAACAAGAGAAAGGGGAGCTAATTCTAGGGAAGATACGGCACTGCAGTGACCACGAATGCCAAGGCGAAGGTGGTGACCAGCTGCCAACTGGCATACGAGTTGCTCTGCGGGTTGATGACGTACCAAAGCCGCCGCGTGGGGCCCGTCTTACTCTTGGCCCGCGCGATGGAGAAGCCCCGCTCCGAGTCGTCGTTTGGCGGGTCTTCGGACTTCTCGATTTCTGAGAGAGGAAAAGGTGTCCGCATCACAGCAACAAAATGGCACAACTTGGCTTCCGTTACTCACCACACCTGTTGGCCCCTCATTTCGCACATTGCTACAGCTCATCAACCGGGGTGAAGGGATCCCCTGAAATCCAACAACAATCATGAGGGATAAATAGAGATCCCCTCG